TGCTCTCAGCAGTTCCGAATAAAGTTGGACATAGCTAAGAGTCAAATAAATTAGATGTATGCTAATGAGGGAACTCTACTGATCATAAAGTACTTGTGGGGCAGTGCCAAGAGCAGCAGGGGTCGGGGGTACCAAGCCTCAAATTGTACTAAAACTTTTTTTTTTAATTTTTACTAGTTTTGGCATTTGTGGAAATTTGAAAGGGTGTACAGGTAGTTTTTAGAGGAACCACAAGACTCACTATCGTCATGTTGTTGCTGATATCCGGTGCTGTGTTGGAAAGATTGACCCTCATGTCCCAACTAACAATGTTTTTCCAAACAGTAAATGAGGGAAACGTCTATAACCACCCACATTCGGGTCCTTCAAGGTTCATTGGATCAAGTGGAAAATGTTTTCTTCCAGATCTGCTTTTCCTGACCTGACCAGATGGGATAGACAGACACATGTCCACTTACATCTGGCTACCCATAGGGATTTCATGGGTCCCTTTTTCAAAATCGGAATGGACACGGTGTCACATAGGTGATATGCATTTCTGTTCTGATCCGACTCACTAGGGGATGAGTCTAGCAGATGGAACATAGGGCGCTCGCATGAAAGGGACCATCGATTTGACACTTTAAGGGCTTGTTGATACATGAGGTTGGGGGCCGGTAAAACTCGCAGTTGAATAACTGTTTTACTTCCACCCCCCCAACCACTACCCCCTTTAGCTGGCTGGGGGTGTACACATGCCATGGCCACAATGTCTCGCTTCATGGCTGTGGAAGGAAATACCCCGTGTTGCTACCGCTTGCCAATCCCGACCTATTCAAGTAAATAAGGCCATTCTGCAAGCGCCCCCGCAACCATGTGCAATGCATGTGGTTGTGGCGCGATAATGCAGTGATAAAAGGGTTAAAGCAGATGATGAGAATACAGTACCTCCTCATTGCTTGTCAAATGCTCTCTGAAGTGCGATACAAACAGCAATCACACTTCAGAGAGCCCTAAGAGTAGCTGTGATAATAAAACAGACAGCATACTGGCCCAAACAGCACATTCTAGTATTAGATGTTAATCAAATAATCATATGACAGGCAGGCATTATTGTCCAGGTTTGATTAGGGCAGCATGTCGTCACAGCCATCGCCCCGCATATAGTCACAGCCATCACTTGCCATTGACATTTCATCAAAGCAAACATGGCAGGTCATTGGTATTAGAAATATAGAATTTTTTTAATAAACTGCGTTGGATGCTTAATGTCAATCTTTATTGTGAAGACTGATGATCAATATAGGCCTGGCTCAGGTAGCTGCCATTGCTGTGCTGTCTAGACATGTGCACTGTTGATAATATGAGCACGTGTGTGTCTGCGGCTATTGGCCCTGCATTGTATTTGATGACATCAAAAGTGCCTGCGACTTCCAGAGCACCTTAGACAAGAGGCTGCAGAGGCCGGTCTTAACCTCCCTGGCAGTATTCCCGAGTGTAGCTCGGGGTTAACTTTCAGTACCAAAAGCACTAACCCCGAGCTACACTCAGGATTACCCTGCAGCGTTGCTCAGGGATTCCCTCCAGCACTTACCTTGTCCTTCGCTCCCGCGATGTCCCCCCTGCAGCATCCCCGGCCATCTCCTCCGGCCGATGCCAGCATCTGGCTTCCGGGTTCTGTTCCCTGCAAGCGTTGGGATGTACGGGGGACGGAAATGCAAAAATTTTAAAAGTGACATTCACTAAATTCACTAAAATCACATAGTATAACATTCCTGTATCAAACCATTTCACATACATTTTGTCCCGAGTGCTTTGTCCTGTGCCCTGCCTGCATTTGTACCGTTCTTTCTGCCTGGAAACGTCCATGGTGTCCAAAAAGCGTCCCTTTAGGTCAAAAGCGGTTTTAGACCGGCTAGAGAACAGCGATAGTAAATTAGAACCACTTGCAGAATTGAGTGATAATGATTTGTGAGGAAATTCGTCATCAGACACTGAAAACGATTCTGCAACTTTGCTCAGTGATGTGCGAACTTGGAGCTATATTTTAAATGTTAGTGTTTTTGGTTTGATTATATTATTGAATTAAATTTATTATTATTATATTATTATTTTTTATGATTATTATATTATAATTTATGATTTCATGTTTCATATTTTATCATACTCTACTAGACTCTTGTTCGGACAGATTTCAGTGAGTTATTCCTAAGAATTATAGGCCTACAATAAAAAAACAACATATTTCCATGCAAAAAAAATGTACCGCTTTGAGCACAGAAATATTGACATAATCAGACCGCTAGGGAACCTGCAGGAGCAAGGGATTAGGTAAGTAAAAGTCCTTGTTACTGATACCCTAAATATAAATGAGCATTTAGCCCTTGAAGTGCAGGAGATTTCCTGCTGAAAGGGTGGATTTTTCTTTCCCTAAGAATTCAGGTTTAATTGCACTCTGTTGAGAATGCAGCAGCAGGAGGGAGACCACATAGTGCAATGAACTCCAAGGGAGAGAGTGTGATGAGTGGGAGGTGCTTAGTAGTAAGGGTGGGGCTTAGTGCGGAAGAAGGGGGTTGATCCTCAGTGCTAATAGTAAGAACAGCCCTGTATAAATGATGGAAACAGTGGCGGACTGACCATTCGAGCACTCAGGCACTGCCCGAGGACCCGGGGTCAGTAGGGGGCCCCATGAAATGCCCCTGATACCTTTTATAGGCTTTTTTGGGTGTGCTTTGAGTGTGGGCAAGGACACAGGAGCCCCACGATCCCCTATTTCCCAGGGGCCCCATGAGTTGTCAGTCCGCTCCTGGATGGAAATGATGATTTAGGTAGAGTGACCCTTTAAATAAGGGTGTGTGTTCTCAGTGGCAGCCTGTCTTGTGTCAATGTACATTGGGGTATTGTGTTCATCTCTTCTTTAGTGGTAATAATGGTTTGTCCGTGTCCAGCAACTCCTGGGTTACATGTTCAGCACTCCGATCACGTAACCAGAGAGAGATGTGCTGTGACGGCCATAGGACTGGGTGGTCTCCCTCCTTTCCGCTGATCCGTGTTTGATCAGGAAAAGAACAATCTGATAAAATCCGCCCCCTGCCCCTTCTCCTGGGTCGATAAACACCTCTCATCTTCACTAACAAGCAGCGAAAACCAAACTGTGTCACACTGCCACCCGCTGACCACATTGGAAACTTTCATTCGCAGCAGCATATCACCAATCATAGATACAAGCCTCCGCACTCAGTATACCTGACTCTTTAAAGGAGATGTAAACCCAAATCTCATATAAGCATTAACATGCTAATGTCATTCAGTATTTTTAAATCTGCAGCTTTTAATAAAATATGACCTGGTGATCCTGCCATGAAGGTCTTGGTTCAGGCATTTCCTGTTATCGGGCGACATCCTCTATTTTCAAAATACGTTCCTGCAGTGTCACCCTGTCATACAGGCTTCTGATAGAGATTATGGGTTGATTTATTAAATCTGGAGAGTGCAAAATCTGGTGCAGCTGTGCATGGTAGCCAATCAGCTTCTAACTTCAGCTTGTTCAATTAAGCTTTGACCAAAAAATTTGGAAGCTGATTGGTTTCTATGCAGAACTGCAACTGATTTTGTATTCCCCAGTTTTAGTAAATCAACCCCTATAAGTGCCCGTTTCAACACCCGTTGTCACCATCAAGAAATCCATCCTGAGAAATGCCATGCAGCCATTGTGGGGTTGCAAGCTGAGAAATGCCATGCAGCCATTGTGGGGGTACAAGCTGAGAAATGCCATGCAGCCATTGTGGGGGTACAAGCTGAGAAATGCCATGCAGCCATTGTGGGGGTGCAAGCTGAGAAATGCCATGCAGCCATTGTGGGGGTGCAAGCTGAGAAATGCCATGCAGCCATTGTGGGGGTACAAGCTGAGAAATACCATGCAGCCATTGTGGGGGTACAAGCTGAGAAATGCCATGCAGCCATTGTGGGGGTACAAGCTGAGAAATACCATGCAGCCATTGTGGGGGTACAAGCTGAGAAATACCATGCAGCCATTGTGGGGGTACAAGCTGAGAAATGCCATGCAGCCATTGCCGGAGTGCATGCTGAGAAATACCATGCAGCCATTGTGGGGGTGCAAGCTGAGAAATGCCATGCAGCCATTGTGGGGGTGCAAGCTGAGAAATGCTATGCAGCCATTGTGGGGGTGCAAGCTGAGAAATGCCAAGCAGCCATGGTCGGAGTGCATGCTGAGAAATGCCATGCGTCCATTGTGGGGGTGCAAGCTTAGAAATGCCATGCAGCCATTGTGGGGGTGCAAGATGAGTAATGCCATGCAGCCATTGTGGGGGTGCAAACTGAGAAATGCCATGCAGCCATTGTTGGGGTGCAAGCTGAGAAATGCCATGCAGCCATTGTCGGGGTGCAAGCTGAGAAATGCCATGCAGCCATCGCAGGAGTGCAAGCTGAGAAATGCCATGCAGCCATTGTTGGAGTGCATGTACACAAAAAAGTCTGCAAAGAGACTGCAGGGGATCAGCAGTACTAAAACGCAACAAAGGATTAAAAAACCCTGAAAATAAGTACTCTATTAAAATGATACACCATGCTTTAGTCACCTAAGTGTCCTCAGATCGGGTTTACATTTACACTATATTGCCAAAAGTATTGGGTCGCCTGCCTTTCCACGCACATGAACTGTAATGGCATCCCAGTCTTAGTCCGTAGGGTTCAATATTGAGTTGGGCCGCCCTTTGCAGCTATAACAGCTTCAACTCTTCTGGGAACGCTGTCAAAAAAGGTTTAGGAGGGTGTCTATGGGAAGGTTTGACCATTCTTCCAGAAGCACATTTGTGAGGTCAGGCACTGATGTCGGGGGAGAAGGCCTGGCTCACGGTCTCCACTCTAATTCATCCCAAAGGTGTTCTACCGGGTTGAGGTCAGGACTCTGCAGGCCAGTCAAGTTCCTCCACCCCAAACTCGCTCCTCCATGTCTTTATGGACCTTGCTTTGTGCACTGGTGCGCAGTCATGTTAGAACAGGAAGGGGCCATCCCCAAACTGTTCCCACAAAGTTGGGAGCATGAAATTGTCCAAAATGTCTTGGTATGCTGACGCCTTAAGAGTTCCCTTCACTGGAACTAAGTGGCCAAGCCCAACCCCTGAAAAACAACCCCACACCATAATCCCCCCTCCACCAAACTTTACACTTGGCACAATGCAGTCAGGCAACTACTGTTCTTCTGGCAACTGCCAAACCCAGACACATCCATCTGATTGCCTGATAGAGAAGCATGATAGGTCACTCCAGAGAACACGTCTCCACTGCTCTAGAGTCCACTGGCGGTGTGCTTTACACCACTGCATCCAACACTTTGCATTGCACTTGGTGATGTAAGGCTTGGATGCAGCTGGTTGGCCATGGAAAAGCATTCCATGAAGCTTTCTACACACTGTTGTTGTGCTAATCTGAAGACCACATGAAGTTTGGAGGTCTTTAGCTATTGAGTCTGTAGACAATTGGTGCCTTTCGGCGCACTGTGCGCTTCAGCATGCGCTGACCCCACTCTGTCATTTTACCACACTGAGTTGCTGTCGTTCCCAGTTGCTTCCACTTTGTTATAATCCCACTAACAGTTGACCGTGAAATATTTAGTAGCCAGGAAATGTCACAGATGGACTTATTGCACAGGTGACAACCTATCACGGGACCACGTTTGAATTCACTGAGCTCGAGAGCGACCCATTCTTTCACAATGTTTTGTAGAAGCAGTCTGCATGCCTAAGTGCTTGATTTTATACACCTGTGGCCATGGAGGTGATTGGAACACCTGAGTCCAATGGTTTGTAGGGGTGGCCCAATATTTTTGCCAATATAGTGTACTTTAAAGTCAGTGAATCATTGACAATAACATGAGACATAGACATAAGATTGGGGTTGAAAAAGTAATCAAAAGCTGACTGCAAAGTATGTTACAATGGCAGGACTGTGAACACTACAATCTAACAGGTTCACAGAATAGAACCTTCCACTTTCAGTCTGACTCGTGGGGAGCATCGAGGGGAGCTGAATTATGGAAAAACAATGGATTACTAGCAGCATTTAAAATTAAATGAACATATTTTAATAACTGCCAACAGTACCTGTAATTTTTGGAATGAGGGGAAACTGCCCTCCAGAGAATAACCATTGTACATACAGTTGTGTTCAAAATAATAGCAGGGTGTTGAAAAAAGTGAATAAAGCTCAAAATCCTTCTAATAGCTTTTATTTCCATCCACACAAATGCATTGGGAACACGACACATTCTATTCCAAATCAAAACATGAAGAAAAATATATAAAATTTGTGTTGTTCCTCTAAAAAAATTGAAGAAAAGTGAATATTAGACGGTTCAAAAAAATAGCAGTGTTTGTATTCTTCTTTACAAACTCAAACATTCACTATATAAACTGAAAAATGTTAGAAGATTTTGCTTTCCTTTGAATCACTTAATGAATATTTCGTTGTAGTCGCACTGTTTCTGAGAACTGCTGTACATCTGTGTTGCATGGAGTCACCCAACTTCTGGCCCCTGTGAACAGGTATTCCAGCCCAGAATGATTGGACTACATTCCACAGTTCTTCTCTATTTCTTGGTTTTGCCTCAGAAACTGCATTTTTGATGTCACCCCACAAGTTTTCTATTGGATTAAGATCCGGAGATTGGGCTGGTCACTTCATAACGTCAATCTTGTTGGTCTGGAACCAAGATGTTGCACGTTTACTGGTGTGTTTGGGGTCGTTGTCTTGTTGGAACACCCATTTCAAGGGCATTTCCTCTTCAGCATAAGGCAGCATGACCTCTTCAAGTATTCTGATGTATTCAAACTGATCCATGATCCCTGGTATACGATAAATAGGCCCAACACTGTAGTATGAGAAACATCCCCATATCATGATGCTTGCACCACCATGCTTCACTGTCTTCACAGTGTACTGTGGCTTGAATTCAGTGTTTGGGGGTCGTCTGACAAACTGTCTCCGGCCACTAGACCCAAAAAGAACAATCTTACTTTCATCAGTCCACAAAATGTTGCGCCATTTCTCTTTAGGCCAGTCAATGTGCTCTTTGGCAAATTGTAACCTCTTCAGCACGTCTTTTTTTCCAACAGTGGGACTTTGCGGGGGCTTCTTGCAGATAGCTTGGCTTCACATAGGCGTCTTCTAATTGTAACAGTCCTCACAGGGAACTTTACACCTTCTTTCATCTTCCTGGAGCTGATTGTTGGCTGAGTCCTTGAAACTTTGGCTATTCTTCTATCCATTCGAATGGTAGTTTTTCGCTTTCTTCCACGTCTTTCAGGTTTTGGTTGCCATTTTAAAGAATTTGCTATCATTTTCTGCACTTCTTTATATGTTTTCCCCTCTCCAATCAACTTTTTAATCAAGGTACGCTGTTCTTCTGAACAATGTCTGGAACGACCCATTTTCCTCAGAATTTCAGAGAGAAATGCACTGTAACCAGCATGTACAACATTTGCTGCCTTCCTTCCTTAAATAAGGGCAATAATTGCCACCTGTTTTACCAAGAATGAATGACCTCACTAATAGAACTCCACACTATTATTTTGAACACGCCCCTTTCAATTAGAGATTCAATTACACAGAATCAGCAGCATGCATGTCATGACTGTTGGGTCTGTTGGATTTCTATTACTCTACTACACCTGCTAGTAAATTATTTGCCATGTAAAAATATCATTTCTACCAAAACCAGTGATTGATCAGGTTAGTGATGTCTGACTGCTATTATTTTGAACACAACTGTATTTATCCTACTTTGTTTGCTGCTTTGGCCTTCATTCCACTCCATTTTGGTTGAAAATAATTGTCACTTATCCTGGTATGTTAGCTGGATTAAACCTCTTGTCATTTGAGTTTGGCATGCCTGTTTTAAATGTTTAGTCCACTCAAATGAGGTATTTCAGTGGCTTGCAAAGAAAGGTCTGCACATGGCAGAATTTGCTGCGTATGTACATTTCTAGCATTTGTGTACCTTCGTTTGCCATTAAAACTTACTACCAGCTGCAGTGCCGTGACATCAGCAGCTCTTTACATGGAAAGCACTGAACTCACCAGTTGCAAAGAGTACTCACGAGATTCCTAGAGACTGGTTGGTCTTTACCCCATTCCCTACTCTATCAAAAAAGAAAAGTTTGGGTAAAGATAGACTTTCAACAGTATTTTAAATCAGCTCATAAGTGGACAAAGTTTTTTCTAGATGGTAGGTCTTCATGGAAAGCACTGAACTCACCAGTTGCAAAGAGTACTCATGAGATTCCTAGAGACTGGTTGGTCTTTACCCCGTTCCCTACTCTATCAAAAACGAAAAGTTTGGGTACAGATAGACTTTCAACTGTATTTTAAATCAGCTCATATGTGGACAAAGTTTTTTCTAGATGGTAGGCCTTCTTTAAGAACAAAACTTAGAATAAAACACTTGTTTACCTAATTATTTTATTGTCTTATTCCTTGAACCAGAGATTAAATAGTCCAGGTTTCAGAATTTCTCTTTTAAAATCAAAATGACAGAAAATAAAATGCATTAACAATCCTTGCTATATTTTATAAAATCCATAAAAAAATTATTTGCGGAGCTGTTAGTTAAAAAATAAGCTACTTATTGATCTGTGGAAGACTGACAAATACAAGGGTTTACCTTTTTTCTGAATTCTATAAATTGTAAACCTTTTTTTTGGCTTTGATAAGAAGTGATGGAGACTAAAGCTGGCCATACAGTGATCACAATTTGGTTGGTTTTAGACGCCATCCGAACTTGTTAGTGTATGGCTGTTCCTGCTCGACAGAAGTCAAATGCTTGATCAACCTCTGTCGAAGGGACATGCTGGAAAACCTTTCAATTAACGGGCTGTAGGTCCCGCTGTCAAAATACCATGTCCTAATGAGTGGATTCCTCCATCCACATCATCTGTGTGGATGGAGGGATCTGTTCAGAAAACAAAACAATTGTTTATGGCCAGCTTTAAGGGCTGATGATTTTCAACAGACATCCAGCAGAGGAAGTTATAAAGCATGGATGGATGCAAGATTAGTTCTACCTGAGCTGCACACATGAATTTGGTAATCTTTCTTGCCTTCCAGCACATTTTAGGCTATCTGGGAAATACACTGTTAAAAGCAGTTAAAATTCTTTTCAAGGCATGTACAAGAAAACAAAAATGATCACAGTCATTAGGTCACATTGCCCTAGTCTTGGCTCACTACTGCCATAATCGCCGAACAAGGTGCCACATTAAAGCCACAAGCCCAGCAGCCATGGCCACTGCGGCAATTCGAGTCGGTAGATAGCCTAAGGATGACTCCAGTTTAGCGTGGAGTTGTAGAACTTGCCGCCTTGTGCTGTCTCTGTCTCCGGAGTTGTCGATAACATGATCAGCAAGTGGCAGTTTGCTGTCAATTGGTAACTGTGCTGCTAGACGGTTCTGGACCTCCTCCTTTGACAGGCCACTCCTCCGTATCAGCCGCTCCACTTGCGTCTGGGGGTCACTGCCAAACACAAAACAGGAACAACAAAGCTTGTGTCAAAAATCAGATAATGGTTCCTTGTGTCTCTATGAAGCCTCTTGAATCCACGGCCCTGGCTGTACATGGCCCTCAACGTCAGCCAAAACTGAGATTAAAGTGGAGTTCCACTCCAAAAACTGTAGCTGCTGACTTTTAAAAAAAAACAGCCACTTACCTGTCCCTCGGTCCCATGGTGTGTCCTCCACAGCTCGTTTCACCGGCCATCCTGTATTCCAGGAGGCCGGCATCTTCAGTGTGGGCAACCAGCTGTGATAGCTTGCAGCTTCACAGCCGGGTACCCACTGCGCATGCACGTGTAGCTCTGCGCTTCATGAATGGTCCTGTAGTCTTCTGGGACCTGCCACATGTCCCAAAAGACTACAGGGAGGGAGGACACCTTCCGCTTCCGATCGCCTAGGCGATCAGACCGGAAGTGGGAGCAGGTACCTGTCAAATTCGTGTACCCGCTCCGCCCCCCAAAGGTGTCAATCCTTAATGGGGAGCGGGGGAACAATCCTTAAAGCGGAACTTCCCCTTTTGGGTGGAGCTCCGCGTTAAGCCTCAGCTATTCCATGCATTGTGTGTTGGTGGGGTGTTGTTTAGTTCAAATGGGTTTGGCATTCGTATAAAAGTCCTTCAAAAGTTATGAACAAAAGCATCATATTTTAATAACCATAGGTGAACTGGAACATACCTAAAACAACTTACATAGAGTAAGGGAGAGGTTTGTATTGTACCAACAACAAAGTAATTATATTCGTCACTGGCAGGGCCATGCCATCTATGAAGCCAACTAAGGCATCTGCCTCAGGCAGAACTCATTGACGCACAGTGGGGGACAGCAATTCCGAAGCTTCTCCTGAGTGGCTGTGGTGTGGATTCTCTGCAATTGGTGGAAGAGGACCCCACCTCCTATATGTAGTATAGGCTACAATGGCCAATTATCGCTTCACCTTCGGCCACATGGAGGTAGTATCTGGATAGTTTGTTTGAGCCAAAACTGGCCCAAAGTAAGTGCTTAAGCCAATCTCATTCTTTCGGGAGTTCTTCATAAGGTATGCCTGACTCTGCAGAGATGACATAACATCTTCCTCCTCGTCACAATCTTGGAGGTGCTCACATAACCTAGCAGAATATATTCACATGCTTTGGGACTGCCAAGCCAACCAATTATTTTGGCATACAGTGGTGACTTTTATTATAACAGTGACCATTACTAGGGTCCTTTAAATATAGAAATGTGTCTCCTGGGCCTGATAGAGCCATTGGCTCCAGCTCATTCAGCTAGAACATCTCAATGCCTTCTACTGATTTACACAAAGACAGTGCCCCTTTAGAGCCCCTTTCTTGGATTTCTGGAAGTCATTAATTAGTATTACACAGTCACTCTACAAAGCCATTTATGAATCCAGGGGTTACCTGAAGAAATTCCATAACGTCTGGGATCTCTGGACCAATTCTGATGATACAAGTGTACAGTGGACATACAGTTGCCTAGTCTCAGTGTGATTTCTCTGTAGGTTCTGTTAGAACTGGTCTGGTTTACATCCACTAACCATGATGACCCGTGGAGTAACCTCTCTGTGACTGGATGGAATGATTAGAAATGCAGTTATCGTGGGAGAGTGTGGATGGGCAGGATAATGGAACCTGAATGCATCTGATTGTTTATTATTAGGGTCTTCTGTCGGAAGAATATCATGGAACTGAATATAGCGGACTGCTTTACTGTATCATTCTTTTGATTTCTTTGTGTTGTATTATGACTGTTTTTGTATTCTTAAGATGAGCGGGGGGGGGGGGGGGGTGCTCAAATAGCTTTGTTTTGATAGATTGCTGCCCCTGGAATAACAGCGGTCATTTTTTTCCTCTGAAACCTTGAAAATATATAACCAGCGTGGGAATTTTTTCCCATTTAATAGTGTGAAGCAACAGCCCTAAAAGAAGAAGGGTCTTTTCTCCCGAAACTCATTGGCTTGATGTACTTGTTTGTCAGGGATGCGGGTGTGACCAGAGATGTGTGTACTGACACAGGGAAACGCAGGCTTCAGATATGGTATAAATAAGACAATTTATTAAGACTAACAATACAAATATAAACGCAGTGCACCAAACCCCAAGCTAACACAAATACATACAACAAGGTGAAACAAACCCAAACCTAAACTGATATAGATGCACAGGTACATACACAAATAGAGCACAACGTAGTCAGGCAGGTTGGGTCGATAACTATCGGGCAGGTAGGTACAGGAGGAGCAGGCGGAGAGAATGGTCAGGGTCACAAGCCAGGGATCAAACAGGAGAAGTCAGCAGAGGTCAGGATCAGGCAGAGTCGGCAACAAGTCAGGCAGAAACAGGAACAGGAATGCAGGTTACAAGGTACAGGGGCCCATGGAAAAACACACACCAAGGCACGGACTGCAGGTCTGGCCATCCCTTAAATACACCTGCAGTCAGCCCCAGGTGATGGCTAATTGCTGAAGTGAACCTCTGGTTGTTGAGAGCACCCGCTGGCCAGCCCTGGTACTGCAGCCCACAAGGCAGGTGAGTCCCACCACTATTGGCAAGTCGATTCCTGACATTGTTATACTCAATAAATGCCTCTTAATTCACCATCAGAACTGAATTCTTTTGGCGCTCATTCTTTTCTATTATTCTATGTATACCTGTGGAAACGACCTCAAGGCCGTACCAAAAAGGCAGCAGCTCATACCCGAAGTAGGTTTACCACCAATATCCACCATTGGGTACAACTGACTGGAGGGACATTTCCCTACCCACCCATGCGACCACCCACCTACGACCAGTGACTCATCCAGTCAGTCCAACGCAGTCTTCAGCACAAACAAGATTGTTTTGACAATGGAAAACGAAAAAAAATTATTTACAACAGATTTTATATTAAAAAAAAAAAAAAATACTCCTTCTTGTGATTGTAATGATTACCTGAAAGCAATTTTGGTGTGAAATTCTCATTTTCTTTGTATACAGATGTGTATATTTTCCCGCCAGTGGTTTCTCTGTATGCCAGAGGTTAGCAGTTTGGTAGGATAGAAGCTGACATACAAGTAGAAGACCTCCAGGAAACTCTATTGTTCCCAGCCAGACTGAGCAGACTGATAGACTTAGATTGGAAAACAAGAACAGGAAGGCTAGGCACCCAATGATGCCTAGTTCTACTGCCTACTACAAAAGTCTACTGCATTTTGTAAGTGGCAGTAGGCAGCCATATTTGTGCCAAAACATTCCAAATCAAAATAAAAGGCCTAGTAGTAATCAGCTCCAAATAGCCAAGATTGATTGGCTACCATTTTTACCCCTCCCATTTCCAGCCTGAGTCTTGTTTTGCTTAGGATTAGAGGAGAAGCTAATATAAAAACAAAAATCGGGTACCTATGCTAATTGTACTTGTAACAATTTTATAATGAATCTAGCTGAATCATATAGGGGTTGATAATAAACCCAGAGAGTGCAAAATCTGGTACAGCTGTGCTTAGCTTCTAACTTCAGCTTGCTCAATTAAGTTTTGACAATAGAAACTGGAAGCTGATTGGTTACTATGCACAGCTGAACCAGATTTTGCACTCTCCAATTTTAATAAATCAACCCCATATTGTTAATATGTTCTGAGATTTTGGCTTTAAACATCAGATAGCACAACAGGATGTATAGAGAAGGAAAGAGGTATGATGTTTGTTCTGTACACAATATAATGTAAACACATAGCATGGGTCTGGTCCAGGGGCGGACTGACCTTTCGAGCACTAGGGCACTGCTCGAGGGCCCAGGGTCAGTAGTTGTTAGTTTTTTGTTAACAACACTAACATGAGTGAGTGTTAGTCCGCCCCTGGTCTGATCTGAGCTGCTCCAACACAACAAACACTTTTCTCCTGCGCTAGGAAAGGACTCAGTAGACCCAATAGGAATGTTCTGGAATTTTCTGGAATATGCACTGCTTGCTGCCCTCAACAGACCGGGGTGGTCCGAATACATTGAATACAAATGGAGAAACAGAAAAAGGGCGCACCGACCTAGTGCATTACCGTTTAAAATAAATTTATTAAAGAAACAAAAATAGGTATCATACTCACAATGGACATAATAACACAGGCATGTCAAACTGAACAAGATGTATGGCCAACTCTGGCTCTGAGGAAGAGGTTGTGCCCTCGAAAAGTGTAAGCCAGTTGGTCATCCAGGGTTCCATCGTATGGACTCAGATGTTGTTTGGATCATACATCTTGTTCAGTTTGACATGCCTGTGTTATTATGTCCATTGTGAGTATGATACCTATTTTTGTTTCTTTAATAAATTATTTTAAACGATAATGCACGAGGTCGGTGCGCCCTTTTTCTGTTTCTCCATTTGTATCCTGGTCTGAGCTGCTCCCTGAGATTATACCCCAGATCAGCCCCAGTGTGACTTCTGTCTATCACAATATTTGATCCATTAGTGAGAAAAGAAAAACACCCTAATGAGCCAGACTACTTGAAATTCTTCTCAGCTGAAGTGGAATTTGTTAGGAGTAATAATTGGTTCTGATTCTTCAGACTGTTCTGTCCACAGACTCTTAATGAGCAGCTTTATCCTGACAAATCAATGCTCTTACTTCCCCTTTATATCTATTGTGACCACTCAATTGTTATGATGAAGACACAGAGCTGGGCTGGAACACGTACACACTACATTCCAAGTGGAAGCCCATCCGAATCTGACATCTCAGTGTTGGGAAGTCACAGGCACTTTAATCATCAAGTGGACATTCACCCTTAAATGACTCGATGAACGTTCACCAGCTCTGTAACATATGTACCTTGATAAATGCATAGCACCTCGTTTGACTTTTGTCCATACTCTGGTTGTCAAGCAATCAGCAATGGAACCTGCCAGCCGTTTTATAGTAAATACAGGGTCCAGGGAGACCAGATATAGTGAATTCAGGGTCCGGGGAGACCAGATATAGTGAATACAGGGTCCAGGGAGACCAGATATAGTGAATACAGGGTCCAGGGAGACCAGATATAGGGAATACAGGGTCCAGGGAGACCAGATATAGGGAATACAGGGTCCAGGGAGACCAGATATAGTGAATACAGGGTCCAGGGAGACCAGATATAGGGAATACAGGGTCCAGGGGAGACCAGATATAGTGAATACATGGTCCGGGGAGACCAGATATAGTGAATACAGGGTCCGGGGAGACCAGATAAAGTGAATACAGGGTCCAGGGAGACCAGATATAGTGAATGCAGGGTCCGGGGAGACCAGATATAGTGAATACAGGGTCCAGGGAGACCAGATATAGTGAATGCAGGGTCCGGGGAGACCAGATATAGTGAATGCAGGGTCCGGGGAGACCAGATATAGTGAATACAGGGTCCGGGAGACCAGATATAGTGAATGCAGGGTCCGGGGAGACCATATAGTGAATGCAGGGTCCTGGGAGACCAGATATAGTGAATACAGGGTCCGGGGAGACCAGATATAGTGAATACAGGGTCCGGGAAGACCAGATATAGTGAATGCAGGGTCCAGGGAGACCAGATATAGTGAATGCAGGGTCCTGGGAGACCAGATATAGGGAATGCAGGGTCCGGGGAGACCAGATATAGGGAATGCAGGGTCCGGGAGACCAGATATAGTGAATACAGGGTCCGGGGAGACCGGATATAGTGAATGCAGGGTCCGGGGAGACCAGATATAGTGAATGCAGGGTCCGGGAGACCAGATATAGGGAATGCAGGGTCCGGGGAGACCAGATATAGTGAATACAGGGTCCGGGGAGACCAGATATAATGAATGCAGGGTCCGGGGAGACCAGATATAGTGAATACAGGGTCCAGGGAGACCAGATATAGTGAATGCAGGGTCCGGGGTTTAGTAACACTTTAATGTTGAAAAATGTAAAGCAATGCATTTGGGGGCTAAAATTATGAATGCAAGTTACTGACTAGGGGGAGAACCTGTGGGGCAAAGGATCTGGGGGTTCTAGCAGATCACAGACTCAGCAATAGCATGCAATGCCCAGTTGCATTGAAAAGGGGATTTACTCAAGCGATAATAAGACTGGCCATACATTATACAATTTTCCTGAGATTCTTGCTTTAGATTTATCAAAGACCATATAATAGGAGGTCAAACCTAAACAACACTTTCAATTGTATCCAATTAGGCAGGCACTTGCACTACATAGTGAAAGGTAAATCTAAAGGAAATTGGGCAGAAATTGGTCAAAAAAAACTGTAAGAAAATTGTATAGTGTATGGCCAGCCTAATACAGATATAACTTTACCACTTTACAAAACTCTGGATCAGCCACGTGCTGAGTATGCCATCCAAGTCTAGTCACCAATCATCAGGAATGATGTGCTGGAACTGGAGAGAATCAAGAGAAGGGTAACAAAGCTAATAAGCGGGCTGGAGGATCTCTATTATGAGGACTACAAACATTAAACGTATTCTCCCTGGAGAAGAGATGCTTAAGAGAATATATGATAGCAATGTACAAATATTTAAATGGTGATTCCAGCACAGGGAGAAAACTATTCAGTCTCAGGTTATTTAAGAAGACATGTGGCCACTCAATGAAGCGAGATGAGGAGCAGTTTAACCTTAGACTGCGCACGGGTTCTTTACTGTTAGAGCGGTAAGAATATGGAACTCCCTTTCACAATTGCTGGTGTCAATTGGAAATGTCGATAATTGAAAAAAAAAAAAAAAAACGTTTAGATGGGCATGTGAGTGAATGCAGGGATATGGGAAATGGTAGTGGCATAAACACACGCACGCACACACACACACACACACTCAGGTTGTACTGGATGGACTGGTGTCTTTATTCAACCTTACCAACTATACACGACTATATCATTTAGACCTTGGTGTTTGGTAATTACACTAGTTTCATTTTAAAATACTTAATGATGTTTTATAATGAACATCTGCATTTTTAATGAATACATTAATGCGGTCATTGAAGTTTTTTACATTTTAAAGATCAACTTAAAGGCCATGTCTCTTACGATCTAAAATGACATATAAGGGGCGATTTATCAAAGCTAGAGCACACAGAATCAGCTGAAGGTATGCCAATCAACCAATCAGCTTCTAACTTCAGCTTGTTCTAAAGGCTGAAGGTTTTTTTTTAACCTTCAGTTTACAGCTCCCCTGCAGCCCCCCTATTACTTAGCAGAGCTCAATCGCGATCCAGTGATGTCTCTCGGGTCTCTGCCTCCTCACTGGCTGAGAGAAAGCAGCAGGAGCCATTGTCTCCAGCTGCTGTCACTCACAGCCAGTAAAGAGGGAGCAGGGACCGGAGCCAAGTCCTGTTCTGTGAGTCTTATGGACACTCAGAGTGGGGCTTGGGAGCGAACATGCACGAGTGCCCCGAGAGCAAGCGGCTTCCTATGGGGGCACTCAAAGAGGAGGAGCCAGGAGCGCCAGCGGGGGGACCCGTAGAACAGGAGGATTGGGGCTGCTCTGTGCAAAACCATTTCACAGAGCAGGTAAGTATAACATGTTTTTTTTTTTTTTTTGTGTTTATAATTCTGCCTTTAACCTCCCTGGCGGTCTGATTATGTCAATATATTTTTGAATGTCAAAGCGGTGCATTGTTTGCATGGAAATTTCAGTGTCTGATGACGAATTTCCCCACAAATCACTATCGCTCAATTCTGCAAGTGATTCTAATTCACTATCGCTGTTTTCTAGCTGGTATAAAACTGCTTTTGACCTAAAGGGACTCTTTTTGGATGCCATGGACCAGGGGCGGACTGACAACTTATGGGGCCCCCGGGCAATAGGGGATCATGGGGCCCCTGTGTCCTTGCCCACACTCAAAGCACACCTACAAAAGCCTATAAAAAAAAGGTACCAGGGGCATTTCATGGGGCCCCCTACTGACCCCGGGCCCTCAGGCAGTGCCCGAGTGCTCGAATGGTCAGTCTGTCCCTGCTATGGACATTTTCTCAAGTTTCCAGGTAGAAAGAATGGTAAAAGTGCAGAGGACACAGTGGGAGGACATCGGCCTAACAGAGGTCACAGTGGGAGGACATCGGCCAGAGGACACAGTGGGAGGACATCGGCCAGAGGTGGGACACAGAGGGGGGAGGACATCGACCAGAGGAGGGGAGGACATCGGCCAGAGGACACAGTGTGGGAGGACATTGGCCAGAGGACATCGACCAGATGTCACAGTGGGGGAGGACATCGACCAGATGACACAGTGGGAGGACATCGACCAGAGGACACAGTGGGAGGACATCGACCAGAGGACACAGTGGGAGGAGGACATCGGCCAGAGGTGGGACATCAGTGGGAGGACATCGGCCAGAGGACACAGTGGGAGGACATCGGCCAGAGGACACAGTGGGAGGACATCGGCCAGAAGACAGTGGGAGGACATCGGCCAGAAGACACAGTGGGAGGACATCGGCCAGAGGACACAGTGGGAGGACATCGGCCAGAAGACACATCGTGGGAGGACATCGGCCAGAGGTCACAGAAGACCAGATGTCAGTGGGAGGACATCGGCCAGAGGACACAGTGGGAGGACATCGGCCAGAGGACACAGTGGGAGGACATCGGCCAGAGGACACAGTGGGAGGACATCGGCCAGAGGACACAGTGGGAGGACATCGGCCAGAAGGACACAGTGGGAGGACATCGGCCAGAGGACACAGTGGGAGGACATCGGCCAGAGGGGACACAGTGGGAGGACATCGGCCAGAGGACACAGTGGGAGGACATCGGCCAGAAGGACATCGACATTGGGAGGACATCGGCCAGAGGACAGTGGGAGGACATTGGCCAGAGGACACAGTGGGAGGACATCGGCCAGAAGACAGTGGGAGGACATGGGAGGACATCGGCCAGAGGACACAGTGGGAGGACATCGGCCAGGACAGTGGGAGGACATCGGCCACACAGTGGGAGGACATCGGCCAGAGGACACAGTGGGAGGACATCGGCCAGAGGACACAGTGGGAGGACATCGGCCAGAGGACACAGTGGGAGGACATCGGCCAGAGGACACAGTGGGAGGACATCGACCAGAGGACACAGTGGGAGGACATCGACCAGAGGACACAGTGGGAGTGGGAGGACAGTGGGAGGACATCGACCAGAGGACATCAGGGGATTGCAGGGACAAGGTAAATTACACTACACACACACACTACAGTGTAATCCCGAGTTTGGCTCGGGGTTACAGCTTCTGGTACTGAAAATTAACCCCGAGTCACACTCAGGATTACCGCCATGGAGGTTAATATCACTTCAAGCTTTGACAATAAAACCTAGAACATGATGGGTTACTACACACAAACTGCACAAGATTCTATGTGCTCCAGTTTTAGTAAATCCCCCCCATAGTGTAATGAGAGTGCCTCTTAATATAAATTGTATACCAGCAATTGTACAGCATATACTGGGAAAGAGACTATTGCATAAATAGTATTTGGAAACATAATTAGTAGGCCTTTTATAGAAGTTACAATTAAATCTTAGCTTTAACCTGCCGTCTTTACCCTATGTAGCCATTTCCCTTTTTATACGCCTACACTTACTCTTACAGCATTTTATAAAATCGGATAATTACATGTCCAGAAATTCAATGATAGGATTGTTCTGATCTCTCGCAAATCCTATACTCTTACTTTTTAAATTGTTTTTAAAGGAAACTACAGAATGATCCTAACAATCATCAGTTGAAGCAGAATATTGAAACGCGGAGGTAAACTCGACAGATAAAATCTTGTGTAATGGAAAGCTTGCCATTCCTGAGGGCAGAGAATCAATTAAGGTAATTAATGTATCTAATTCTAACCAGTGATCTGCACCAGACCTTGTTTTCTGTCTGTGATTAATGTATCCAGCAAGAGGCAAGTACAAACTTCTTCTGTTCCGACTATGCTGCCAATAATGTTATAAAAGCAGGCCTATAGGAAAAAATTAGCTCGGATTCGTTTCAGCAATCCTGCTGCAATAGTGAAGACTAGGATAGCTGAAAATCTGAAAACCTTACTTGTTGGGAAACAATTAGGATTCTGGTCTTACTTACACTGGTCAATGCTGATCAATGCTGAGGCTCTGGTTGCTTGATCCTGTGATCCTTGGGAGGCCGGCATTCAGGCTAAGCAAGCCAGTCAAGCATTCCCACTTGAACATGAGGCTAGGCGATCGTTGCTTCGGAACTGGCCATGTGACAAGTGGCAAAAGAATTCCCAATTTCTTTATAACATGTACATTTTGAACATTGAAGTATAAGTCAGCTAAGTAAACCTACCAACTAACCTACATTTCATACAGAGCAAATAATACAAAATGTTTAAAAAGTTACCATTAGTAAAAAATACCATGTGAAAACAAACAAATCTCTGATTGGACAAGGTGGGGATCGTGAAGTCAAAAGCTTGCCTCTCCTTGTCCAATCAGAGAACTCCCTGTGTGTCATGAATGTCATGCTCAAGACCATGCTCAAAGGAATGTGTAAGCAAACAGAACGGTCCATAGAACTGTGCACAGTATTAGGACCCTGTACGCATCTATATGGGTACAAGCACATGTATGTGCACAGGATCATTAGCATTGTGCACGTGCTCATATGCATGATCATGCTCGTTTAACCCCTTGACACCGAGCGCATGCCAATACGCGGCCTTTCGGCGTCTGGACCTTGACGCCGAGCGGCCGCATATTTGCGCGTCATTAGAAAATACATATGTGCTGAGAGCGCGTGCCCTGTGCGCTTCCAGCACATATATCCGTGACTCACGGAAAGGTTCCGATCTCCCCTTTCGATCTGGACTTTTTTCGATCATGTGACCGCCATGACAGCGAATCACAGCGGTCACATGACCCTGAAACACTGGCCACCTCCCGGCTTCTGAAACTCATAAAGGGCCGGGAGGCTCCGGCGCTAAGAGATTAATGGACTTTGGCGCCTAGTGACATATTTAAAGTCTTACAGGACTCAGGTTCATTGCTGAGTACTCATCAGCTTCTTCTGCTTGTGACCCGGATCTGTGCTCATCTGTATCCTGACCCAGCTTGCTCATCCTGTTTGTTCCTGAACCTCTACTGCTGACTCTGGCTTGCGCTTGGACCTTGCTTCCTGCCTGCTGCTCTGTTACATCTGCTCGCTTGATGCTGACCCTGGCCCGGCTTTGACTCTGCACCTGGTTCCTGACATTGCACTCCTGTTGCCCGGCTGTTGCCCACCTCTGCTTGTCTGACTACACATCCAAGATCCAGTATCTCCCTACTACTAGTTGACCTGCTCCAACTCTGCATCGGCTTCCCAGATATTCAGAACCAGATCTCCTACAGGCATGGGTCACTCTGTGCCCTGCTATACCCTGTCATCATCCCTTGGGGAAATAGGACAAGAGGTGTAAGGGCAGCCCTCTCGTCTGCTTGACCAGGTACGTGACACTGTGGTTGCTGTGGAAGGGCAACCGCCTGGCCCTTGACCTTAAAGACTGCTGTTATCACTGTAGTAGCAGCAACTACTACAGTAATTTGCAGCTTCTCTAGGAATTGGTCAGGTATGAAATATGCATATTTAGATTGTTCCAAACTGGACCAATGAAACTTTGCTATAAAATTCACACCTACACTTCAGCCTTAGGCTGCCTATATTTCAAGATCTATTGATCATTTTGAAATGGTATTTTTCACTAATAGTATTCCTATTCATTTGCACAGTTGAGCTCAATCATGTATGAAAAACAAGTGTTCAAAATGTACCTGATGTAAAGACACTCAGAAGACCACTGTTGTAGCTGTGACTACTACGGTGATCTGCAGCTTCTCCAGGGATTGATAAGGTATGAGATATGACATTGTTACAAGCTGGAGCAATGTAACTATGCTATAAAAACCACACCTACACTTTAGCTTTAATTAATATCCAATTAGATCTTTTGCTGTAAAATAATCATTTGGGCCCATCCCTAACCACCTCCCAATGAAACCTTGTCAAGACTTCCATGTAACTTCAGTTTCCTTTCTTTGTGGATCTACTGATTGTTTCTACCGATTGTTTCTACTGATTGTTATGACGTGCAGTTTTTACGGGAGGAAACCTACTTTTGTGTCTTTTTATTGTACGTTCAGTTTAAATTGCCCCAAATTTGTGATATGTTTAAAGAACAAGTCCAGACAAACTATTAAACACATAGATAAACTATATGCCTAGGAACCTCTTTAATTGCGGAATGATTTGTAAATTAAAGCATTGATCATTGCTATGCCAACTGTATTTGCAGAATTCCGCTTTAACAATACTAAATGACAAAATGGTTTTTGTAGCTGTTCTATATTTTAAAACATTAATTCATCACAAAAGTGGAGTTTTCTTTATAATTGCCCCCCTCCCACTCCCCACTTACCAGTAAACAAGTACAGCGAGCTTCATATAACGCATCAGGGTCCTCGTTTCAAATAACAATGGGATGTCAAGGATCACATATCGATATCCTGAGGTGTAGGGAGAAAATGATTACTAATCATAAATTCAGACCTCGGTACTTTTTGAACAGCACTGGAGATACAACTAACTATATGTGAAGTATAGATGGCAAAAGAAAACTAACATATAATTTCAATAACAAGGCTCTAAAATACCACAATACTCACAAAAAACACCCCCCCAAATACCTTTAAAATGTCTTTTATTCAGCAGTCACCTGACCACAATTACCGTCTCCGCACTGTTCTGCGGGGAATGGTACTAGTAGTTCTGTTATGTGGTTTTTTTGACATTGTGACTCTGTACAGAAGCCATTGTCAGTCAAAATGAGCTGAGCTGGGCTGAGAGCCGTGTCTTTCATGCCAACTACACCAGCAAGGCATCCTGTACCTCTGATTAGTAGCGAAGGCATGCAAAATGACCACAGCAGCACAGATCTGCTTCTGTGCTTGAGTGCTCAGAATGCTGGGGAAACAGCTGACTGACTACCAGGTACTTTCTGATCACTATTAAAATAACACAAAAAGGAACCCTTCAATAAGTCAGCATTTTTCAAACAAGGTGCCTTCTGGGCTCTTCAGGGGTGCTGCGCTGTGTCCCATATTTCTGCACATTCATGTGTGCCCTTGGTGCAGATGGGCTGGCTGAAAGTGCTGATGTGAATGAGGATGAGGACTCTGATATGAACAGGAGGGTAGGGGATGAGGACTCTGATTTAAAAGGAAGCGAGGCTGAGGACTTTGTTGTGAAAGAGGAGGACGGAGTACTCTAAAGTAAAATAAAGGGGTGGGCTAAGGACTCTGATTTAAAAGGAAGCGAGGCTGAGGACTTCTTTGTGAAAGAGGTGGACTGAGTACTCTAAAGTAAAATAATAAAAAGGGGGGGGGGGGCGCTGAGGACTCTGATTTAAAAGGAAGTGAGGCTAAGGACTTCTTTGTGAAAGAGGAGGACGGAGTACTCTAAAGTAAAATGAAGGGGGGGGGCTGAGGACTCCGATTTAAAAGGAAGCGAGGCTAAGGACTTCTTTGTGAAAGAGGTGGACTGAGTACTATAAAGTAAAATGAAAGGGGGGGTGCTGTGGACTCTGATTTAAAAGCGGGGGGGGGGGGGGGCTGAGGACCCTAAAGTAAAGTGGGGTACTGAGGACTGTGATGTGAAAGGGAGGGACTAAGGGCTCTGATGTAAAAGGAAGGGACTAAGGACTCTGATGGGAAAAGGAGAGACTGAGGACTCTGATGGGAAAGAGTGAAAGAGGGGGGGGACTGAGAGCACTAATGTAAAGGGGGGAATTAGGACTCTTATGTGAAATTGGGGGGCGGGGGGTCTGATGTGACAAAGAGACCCAATTTTAGACTAGGGTGCATTAAGATTTTCAATATCTTTAAAGGGTGTTGTGACGTAAAAAAACCGGTTGAGAAACACTGTTATAGGGCAAAGGAATGCATGCATACAATGTCATTATTAAGGGTTACAAACATGTTAGGGTCTCTTTATAAAAAAGAAACAAATGCGTAGACATTCACCCAGTGAATCTTCATGTACATTCATTCTGTGAAAATCAGGCAAAAACAAATGTTCTTTAGGCTATTTTCTCTTCTGAATGTTCTTTTGTTATGGGTAGTAGTAAAATACAGTATTATACCACTAGATGGAGCAGAGGAATACAGGAAAGTACATAGGCCTTTACATACAAAATACAGTAAAATAAAAAATGTAATCAATAAATAAAATCATAATTAATTTAATAAATGTAAAAAAAAATCATCTAAAAGTTAATTCTATTTTTAGAGAGCGAATGTCACAATACAAGAGAACACTAGAGGGAATTAACAAATGAAAGACAAACAAACCTATACTGAACACTGCTCCAGTTACAGGATAACCTGCAATCATATGACAGAATCAGTCACTCCTGCTGTCTGCCTTCTCTTATATTTCTACTGCCAGTCAGCCTGAGTTGAAATTTCAGATGGTGTGCTAGGGATGATGGCAGTTTTCTAGGCTTTAATGTAGACATGGAGGTTTTTTTCACCCACAACACACTAGTTCTGAAAATGATCTGATAAAGCTGTCTATTGTGACAGAGCAACTTTCTTTATATGATATAAAAATGTCGCCATACAATCAAGGAGCCCCTGGTGGCCCCTTCTCCTACAGGGCCCAGAACTGAATGCTGAGATCCTCATCTTCCAGACAAATCTACATTCAAAAAGCTTTCCATTTTTTTGTAATCTCCCATATAAGTTCCATCCCCCTTTCCAGTCACTTTGCAAATCACAATGTCTCATAATGGAGGCTCTCTTATCAGCTCAGACTAAAATACCATTCCTATAGTAGGCCTCAGGATCTGCAGGGACCAGGAAAAATATTCCGCTTTGCTTTGTTCAGAACCCGATGCTATCAAATCCAGGAGAGAACGAGAAATGAATTGTCACCTAGTCCCTAAAGGTAGAGTGATATTTGTCACCCTCTGCACCAAAAAAAGCTATTTATATATGTAGTGAAATGTCTTGTGATACAAATAAAGGCAAGTTTGACAAAGACACCAGCAGGGGTGTTATCTGAACTAACTAAAATTAAAGTAGATGTAAACCCTAAAAGTGTGACTTTAGCTTGCTAAAAGAACTGTGTACTATCAGCAACGGCATTTTCTTTTAATAAAATACTTGTGTTCCCATTTTGTTTTATCCCTTGTTGCACCTCAGTGATGCTGATCACCTGCAGCCTCTTTGCAGCCATGTCCTGTATACATGCACTTCAGTGATGACTGTGTGGCATTTCATAGGGTGACAACAGTGGACCACACCTGTGTAATGAATGTTGAAATGGCCCCTGCATCAGATGCCCATGTGACAATGCAGGAGCACAATCAGGAGACAGGGGATGAGTGTTTTCACCCTATAACAGCAAGTGCCTGGAAAAGGACCTTCATGGCAGGATCACCAGTTTAATGCAAGCTGCAGGCTAATCGCTGTGTAATCTCCATGTCAGTATGTGTTTGAACTTACACGGGATTATTACCATCTTTTCCTCCCTCATATGGCATTGTTCTGGCCTGGGGATTGGCCAGTCAAGCTCAAGCACTGAATCCTGAGAGTAAGGTTACATGAAAGACAACATTACATGCTCCTTCATACTTGGGAGTACTGGGTACTTCTGACAGCTCAGACATACAATCAGAATGGCAGGGGTAATATCAGCATAGCAAGAGAACCTGTCACTTTGCCCTGAAAGAGCAAACTTACATGTTCCTTTAAAGCTGGCCATACATGTTACAAATTGTAAAGTGTATGGCCAGTTTTCATTCCAGTGGGTGGTCTTGTTTTCAGACAGAAGATTTGCTTTAACCTGAAACATTACAAAACAGAGGAATGGTCATGTTTACCAGGTAATACCCTAAAAATCCTTCCTGGATCCCCAGGGACCCAAGTGAATGTAGCGCTCTGTTCTGTTCCGTAAGCCAGTTGTGCATTAAAAGCACATTGTTTATTTCTGTTTGTGCTGTAGCTCTACCCTAGGCTGAAGCCCAATTTGGGGGCATTACTATGGGGTGGAGCTATAACACAGAACTAAGCACCACTCCTTCTTTAAGGTTCGAGCATTGTGGACATTATGATTTCTGTCCATTCACAGCCCCACCAGCGCTGACTGATCTTTTACTGTTGTACGTACCAGGAATGTTCACTACCAGTAATAGATCAGTCAGTACTAGAGAGGCTGTGTCATTCATCTGCTGGCTGATAATAATCATTCCCTCACACTGACAATTGTAAAGAATCAGTCAGCACTGATCTATCTGCCAGCTTCTAGTAAACACTGGACCGGCTGATAGATTACACAGCCCCACCAGCGCTGACTGATCTTTTACTGTTGTACATACCAAGAACGTTCACTACCAGTAATAGATCAGTCAGCACTAGAGAGGCTGTGTCATTCATCTGCTGGATGATAATAATCATTCCCTCACACTGACCATTGTAAAGAATCAGTCAGCACTGATCTATCTGCCAGCTTCTAGTAAACACTGGACCGGCTGATAGATTACACAGCCCCACCAGCCCTGACTGATCTTTTACTGTTGTTTGTACCAAGAACGTTCACTACCAGTAATAGATCAGTCAGCACTAGAGAGGCTGTGTCATTCATCTGCTGGATGATAATAATCATTCCCTCACACTGACCATTGTAAAGAATCAGTCAGCACTGATCTATCTGCCAGCTTCTAGTAAACACTGGACTGGCTGATAGATTACACAGCCCCATCAGTGCTGACTGATCTTTTACTGTTGTACGTACCAGGAACGGTCACTACCAGTAATAGATCAGTCAGTACTAGAGAGGCTGTGTCATTCATCTGCTGGCTGATAATAATCATTCCCTCACACTGACAATTGTAAAGAATCAGTCAGTGCTGATCTATCTGCCAGCTTCTAGTAAACACTGGACCGGCTGATAGATTACACAGCCCCACCAGCCCTGACTGATCTTTTACTGTTGTTTGTACCAAGAACGTTCACTACCAGTAATAGATCAGTCAGTACTAGAGAGGCTGTGTCATTCATCTGCTGGCTGATAATAATCATTCCCTCACACTGACAATTGTAAAGAATCAGTCAGTGCTGATCTATCTGCCAGCTTCTAGTAAACACTGGACCGGCTGATAGATTACACAGCCCCACCAGCCCTGACTGATCTTTTACTGTTGTTTGTACCAAGAACGTTCACTACCAGTAATAGATCAGTCAGTACTAGAGAGGCTGTGTCATTCATCTGCTGGCTGACAATCATTCCCTCACACTGACAATTGTAAAGAATCAGTCAGTGCTGATCTATCTGCCAGCTTCAAGTAAACACTGGACCAGCTGATTACACAGCCCCATCAGTGCTGACTGATCTTTTCCTATTGTGAATGGCAACTCAGAGCTAGCTGAGCTTTGTGATCTATCTGCTGGTGCTGTGTTTATTAGCAGCTGGCAGATCAATCACAAAGCTCCATATCGCTGAATCTTCATTCACAATATAAGTGATCAGGCAGCACTGGAAGGATTGTGCAATAAACTTGCCAGCTGCTAGTAAGCTTCCACTGCAGCGGCAGATAGATCGCACAGCCCCATTACCGCTGGGTGATCGTTTACTAGAGGCTTGTGTTATGAATGGAGCTGACCCTTCCCCCTGCTGCCCTGAATGATGGAGCTCGTCTTGAGTGCGTGCCTCCTGTCAGAGACAATCGCCAGCAATCATGTTTCATTACATAGTCGTCTCCTTGATACTGTGTGGTAGAAAAGCAGTAGGGGTGGGGGTGCTGTCAATAATAAGCTCTTGGCTTATACAGCACACTGAAAGATGGGACAAAGTGCTATATGTACTTTGTATCCTAGGGGAAAGGAGTAACAAAGTAAAGGGAAGTCTTATTTATTACTGGTATATCTAATTTATAGACGTTTTATGGCTCAGTCTCTTACCTAGATCTCATCAGTCACAGTACCTGTGGAACTACCTAAAAGGGATAAGTAGAAAACACTAGAACTGACCCATGGGTATTAAACAGACCGGGGACATTCGGCTCACCTAGAAAAAAGTACCGCAGTGTCTGCCTTAGCATTGCTTTGCGTATGGGGGGGTGGGTGATCGAGTTAAGTAGAGCCCTCTTTTCAGGACTGGAGAAGACAAGAGTTCCCAGCTTCTCACGGTCCAACTCTCCACTTTTTAGCAAAACTTCTTCTCCAAAATGGTGCACGATCTGATTGTAGGCCGGGGTCCCCAGCTGGACCACTGGAAGAGAAACACCAGGCAAAAGGCAACAGTTTATTAAATTTATTACAAATTAACACAACCAAAATGTCTTACCGACCCTCTAAAACAGACAATATATATAAACAGCACAACACTCCCCAAAAAAAAAAACCCCACAAAATAACCTCCATTGAACTATATAACTCCTCCACTAAATGATGGCTACATATATAGAAAGTGCATTACTAGCAAGAGGAAAAAAAGAATAATATTGAAAATTCATCCTGATAGCCCCACCGGTGTGGTATACACACTGATCCACACCTCCTCGTTGCTGGAGTCCACCCCGGGTAAGCTCTGGTGCTGGAGTATTCCGGGAAGGAAGACATCACTGCTCCTCCCCATTTGACTGTGTTCAGGCCTGGCATATGTGACTACAAGAAGCAGACCACAGGCTCCTCCATACCTGGAGTACCAGGTATTTCCCATTCAGAACAGCAATGGAAGGAGTGTTCCCATAGAGCAGAGGCAAGGAGCATGGACTGTTGTGCATAATTTGTAAAGGGGATGGGCTACCAGAAGATACCATCACTTAGGGCTATATTGTGCCTTGGCAACTGCCTGCAAGCTAGGCAGAATAGATTTCACAATCTTTCTGAGTACATTTAATTCAGTCTATGTCACAGAGTGATCATTATACACATACCCTGTCTGGCAATGACATCTGCATCAATCACAGCACAGCCCAACTCTCGAAGGATTGATACAACGGTGCTTTTCCCCGATGCGATTCCCCCTGACAGGCCCACCAGGAACATTGCTGCAAAGAGAAAACAGAACAAAGAACACAGATTTATTCAGGGGTACATTGCAGTGTTCTGTACATGAATGCAGAAATCACTAGTAACCTACTAACAACCTTTGACTGGTCGAATGACACCAAATCCATGCAGCCTGAACTGTACTTGGTTGGTGGGACATATTATTTATGATATATATTTATTTGGCATACAACCGATTCTATCGATCCATTCAGTCGTATCCGACTCTTGGCGATTGCATGGACCGTCACTCGTAAGCGACTTTTTCCATGAATTCTCTTAGCAATTATTTTACAGAGTAGGTTGCCAGGTCTTTCCCCAACCCCTACCATGCAGGAGATCCCGCATGGCCAGGGATGAAACTAGGACAATTTAGACAGCAGACAGTTAACCTACCAGCATTTCTTTGGAGTGTGGGAGGAAACCTGAGCACCCAGAGGAAACTTACGCAAGCACAGGGAGAACATGCAAACTCCATGCAGGAGGCGCCATGGTTGGGAATTAAACCCATGACCCATTTACTGCACGGCAGATGTGCTAACCACTAAGCCACTGTGCCGCCCCATACAAGCGATTGGCCACAGACTAATGGATATATATATATATATATATATATATATATATATATATATATATATATATATATATATCTCAACCTCCTGTATCCAGGTTTGTATGGGTAGCTGTATATTGAATTTGGGTCTTAAAGTAAAGCAGTGCTTTGTTAATGCATGGCAAAGTGACAGGTTCACATTGTTGCCAGTCCTTTAGCAGCTTATATGCATCTTCTGTGTGCCCCTTACCACTCTGTTTTCCTGTAGGAGTGAGAAGACACCTTATTTAAGTCCCAAGGCAACCCTAGCCACAGTTTAAAGGGATAGTTCACCTTTACCAAAAAACTGCCTATGCAGATAAGGGGTGCCTGTAAATAAATACAAACTGTGTAGCTTTGGCTAAAGTTGAATAATGGCCTTTGCTATAGGTATAGGCCATTAATGTACTTCATGAAGCCTGACCTGAAAAATCCCAGGACGTTGCTAGGTTGTTGCTAAGGGAGGCCCAGCTATTACTGTTCGCCTTCACCATCAGAGGAGTGAGCTCTCAAATGCTGAGCTCAGAGCTATTGCATCAAGGGAAAGAAAGAGCATGTGAGGAGGGCAGAAACATTGAAAGAGCTCACTCCTGTGATGGTGAACAGTAATAGCTGGGACTTGCCTAGCAACCTCCTAGCAACATCCTGGGAGTTTTTCAATCAGGCTTCTTGAAGGAAGCAAATCGCCTACACCTACAGCAAGGGCATTATTCAACTTTAGTCGGAGCTGCTCAGTTTGTTTTAATAACAGAAGCCCCTTATTTGCATAGGCAGCTTTTGGTAAAGATAAACAATGCCTTTAAACAGGAACTTCAGCTCCCCCCACCCCAGTTTCTTCCCTCTCTTAGCTTTTTTTCACTGTCTTTCATCACAATTTACATGCTCGCCTGGCCAGCAAATCCTGCTGTTATCAGCTCGTGTGCATTGCCCCGCTTCGTTCCACTGGGAGCCACATGCCTCTTCCTGGTCCAGGCAGCCCAGCTCCCTGATCAAGCACCACCAGGTCAGATCTCCTCCAGCAGAAGTGAATGGAGTGTACAGCACCCTGGAATATGTGATGTGCATATTCAAGGAAGCTTTAATACGGAGGAGATGTCATTCTTGCCAAGGTTAGGAGGCAAGGCAGATCAAAAAAACTAAAAAAGGTAAAAAAAGAAATATAATTGCCTGTTACATTTTGGGGGGTTAAGGAGGAAATGAGGCCCAGTGCATCCAGTCAGTGGAGATTCAATCTATATGGGGACTACAACATAATGTCAAAAGGATACTAACCAAATGAAATAACTCTGTACTATTTAGATACTATATATATATATATGTACACACTTGGGTCCACATATATTTGGACACGGGCTCAATTTTCAGACTTTTGGCTCTGTATGCCTGGGCTCAAACGTAATTGGACAAATGAATATAATTATAAATAAAATGTTAATTTTTAATATTTTGTTGAGAATCCTTTACTGCCAATGACTGTCTGAAGTCTGGAACCCATGGACATTACCAAAGACTGGGTTTCCTCCTTTCTGATGCTTTGCCAGAATCTAACTGCAGCTGCCTTCAGTTGTTCTTTGTTTGTAGGTCTTTCTGCCTTTAGTTTTGCCTTCAGCAAGTGAAATGCATGCTCAATTGGGTTGAGATCAGATGATTGACTCGGCCATTGCAGAATATTCCACTTCTTTTCCTTCAAACGCTCCTGGGTTGCTTTTGCAGTGTGTTTTGGATCATTGTCCATCTGTACTGTGAAGTGCCGTCCAATCAACTTTGCTGCATTTGGCTGAATCTGGGCTGAAAGCATATCTTGGAACACTGCAGAATTCATCTGGCTGCTTCTGTCTTCTGTCACATCATAAATAAACACCAATGACCCAGTGCCACTGGAAGCCATGCATGCCCATGCCATCACACTGCCTCCACCATGTTTTACAGATTACGTTGTGTGCTTTGGATCATGAACTGTTCCAAGCCTACAGGCAGCAAACCATCCTCCACAGCTTCTCCAGACATTTTCACATCTGTCACGTGCTCAGGGTGAACCTGCTCTCATCTGTAAAAAGCACAGGGTGCCAGTGGTGGACCTGCCAATTCTGGTGTTCAATGGCAAATGTCAATTGAGCTCTACTGTGCCGGGCAGTGAGCCTGGGGCCCGCTAGAGGACATTGGGCCCTCAAGCCACCCTCATGAAGTCTGTTTCTGATTGTTTGGTCAGAGACCTTCATACCAGTGGCCTGCTGGAGGTCATTTCGTAGGGCTCTGGCAGGGCTCATCCTGTTCCTCCTTGCACAAAGGAGCAGATACCAGTCCTGCTGATGGGTTAAGGACATTCTATGGCCCTGTCTAGCTCTCATAGAGTAACTGCCTGTCTCCTGGAATATCCTCCATGCTCTAGAGACTGTGCTGGGAAACACAGCAAACCTTCTTGCAATGGTAGGTATTGATGTACCATCCTGGAGGAGTTGGACTGCCTGTGCAACCTCTGTAGGGTCCAGGTATCGCCTCATGCTACCAGTAGTGACACTGACCCTAGCCAAATGCAAAATTAGTGAAAAAACATCAGAAAAGATGAACAGGGAAAAAAATGTCAGTGGCCTTCACCTGTAAACCCAGTCCTGTCCTGTTTTGGGAGTCGTCTCATTGTTGCCCATCTAGTGCACTGGTTAATTTCATTAACACCAAAGCAGCTGAAACTGATTAACAACCCCCCCTGCTACTTAACGGATGAGATCAATACCCCAGGAGTTTCACTGACTTGATGCTATACTCTGATTAAAAAGTGTTCCTTTCATTTTTTGAGCAGTGTATATCACTTATGATCCTACTAATCATTCTACCCATCTTCAGGCTAGGCAACAACACTTATTAGCCCAAAGTGAATTTACTACCATGTTGTCACCCTGCTTAGCACTCTAGCCACTGCATTACTATGCACATTGAGCAGATGGGTTTTTAAGGGGGACAACCTCCATACTGCCACTCATGGCTGGTCATGCCTTGCTCTGTTTATCTCCCTCCCACCATCTACACCTACAGTTGTGATTGTGGTTCCACCAGCACCCTGCATCTGGCAAAAGTGAAGCAAGGCAGCCATGCTTCATCCCTCCAACTGGTGTACAGAAGACATCAGGAGCCCCTGTGATGACATCAAAGGGGTAAAAAAAAGAATGCCCTGCTGCCTAGGAGGAGGCAAGTAAAGAAATAAGCATGGCATGCCTTTCTAGGTAGATGGAGGAATGGATTACATTAAATAAAAACATGAACAGACTAACTTTAGGTCCCCTGTTTTTTCTTTTTTTGGCTTTGTTTACATTGGTGATTGGGATGGAGGGGGAGCAGTAAAATCACAAGGTTGATCTGCGTTTCTACCTCCCCTCAATCGCTCTATCTTTAGCTGCAGTTCAGTGAAGGGCTGTGTACATATGCCATGGCTGCAATGCTTTGCAAAAAATGATCCAAGTTGTTGCATTTAGGGGGAGGTATTGCCTCCTGAATGTAACCCACTCAACTGAAAAGGGGCCCCCCACAACCACATTCAATCCCCCAGGGTTAGTGTGCTAGAGCGGGGTTCAAGCAGGTGGGAATGGGGCGCTACAATGCCTCCACACTGCCTGTCAAATGACCGGAGGGCACAGCCCTTGTAAACTAGGACTTTGTGTCCTATCGGAGAGATTTCCCTTAGTTTCCTGTATTGAGACAAAACAGGAAGTGATGGGAAATCTCTTCAAGGTGAGCAGAGTTCCCCATATAAACTGTAGCTGAACTTGAGTTCCCATTGGAAGATTTCCCATCACGTTTGGTATGGAAGACAATGATCCTCAGGAGCTCAGGCATTGATCCGTCATGAAACTGTCATTGTATTTGGCCAATCATATGCGCCTAGGCATTCCCCGCCCCCACAGTCACACATGAACACGCCTCTTGTATATGTGCAGCTGCAGGGCGGGGAATGCCTTAGGATTGGTCAGATACAATGGCAGTTTCCTGTTGGATGGCTCAGGTGGGTTCGGACTAGGATCTCAGCACCCCGCAGCTCATCCCTGCACAGAACTAATATAGAAAGCCAATCTCCTGAACGTGTACCTGACTGGGGTTCCATATTCTGTCCATTTTAATAAACAGTTCCAGCTTTAGATCAACTTTAATAAATTATACAGGCACATTTCTAAAGGAGAAAGGCGATTGGCAGTAAATGCACTCATTTCCATTGGTGATGGCGCAGGACAGACATGACAACCTGCAGGTGGCTCTGACATGCTGCCTATCCCTCCTCTATACCATCATGTCAACTACAGACAGATGTAAACATCACTTCATCTCCTGCTGTAACACGGTACAGTATTGGTAACCATGACTACCACAGACATGGAGGCGTACATTGCTGTCTAGCACGCATTACAGGTATAACAAA